GCTGTGCTTCCATTCTATGACTAATTTATTTTATAATTTTAAGTTTTACCTCTATCCCGTTCACCTACTTCACCCTTCCTGCCTCTTTCCCTTCCCTGCGGTAATGGGTTTATTTCTTTTTTGTTTGCTTTTTAGATTGCACATAGAAGTGAAATCATTTGACATTTGTCTTTCTCTGTCTTACTTCACTTAGCATGAGACCCTCTAAGTCAATCCACAGTGTGGAAAATGGCAAGATTTGCTACTTTGTTATAGCTGAATAATATTCCATTGTGTATAGGTACCACATCTTCTTTATTCATCTATCCATCGCAACTGGGTTGTTTTCCATATCTTGGCTATTGTAAATAATGCTGCAGTAAACATAGGAATGTATATATCTTTGCAAATTAGTGATTTTGTTTTCTTTGGGTAAATTCCCTGAAGTGGAATTGCTGGGTTGTATGTATTTCTACTTTTAGTTTCTCAGGAACCTCCAGCTTTCCCTAATGGCTGGACCAATTTACATTCCCACCAGCAATGGAAGGATTCTCTTTTCTCCACATCTTCACCAACACTTGTTATTTCTTATCTTTCAGATAGTAGCCATTCTGACTGGTGTGAAATAATCTCATTGTAGTTCTGATTTGCAGTTCCCTGATGATTAGTGATGTGGAGCATCATCTTGTGTCTGTTGGCCATCTGTATGTCTTCTTTGGGAAAATGTCTATTCAGACCCTCTGACTATTTTTGATTGGGTTTTTGCAGGGGGGTTATTTGGTGTTGAGTTGTATAAGTTCTCTATGTATTTTGGATATTAGCCCCTTATTGGATATATCATTTGCATATATATTCTCCCATACAGTATGTTGCCTTTTCATTTTGTTGATGGTGTCCTTTGCTGTGCAGAAGCTTTTTGGCTTGATATAGTGCCACTTGTTTATTTTTACTTTTGTTTCCCTTGCCCAGGGAGACGTATCCAGAAATTGCTCTACTTCTGTGAAAAATACAATTGGTATTTGATAGGGATTGCACTGACTTGGTGGATTGCTTTGGGCAGGATGGCCATTTTCACAGTATTCTTCCTAATCATAAGCATGGATTCTCTCTTACCATTCAGTGTATCTTTATAATTTCTTTCATCACTGTCTTACAGTTTTCAGGGCTTTCACCTTCTTGGTTAGATTTATTCCTAGGTATTCCTTTTGCTGCAATTGTAAATGGGGTTGATTTCTGAATATCTGTGCCTTGTTAGTTCATTATTTGTAGATAGAAATGTAATAGATTTTTGTATATTGGTTTTGTATCCTGTGACTTTACAGAATTCATTAGTTCTGAGAGTTTTTTGCTGGGGTCTTTAGGGTTTTCTATAGGTTATATCATGACATCTGCAAAGAGTGACAGTTTTACTTGCCTTTTATTTCTGTTTCTTGGCTAACTGCTGTGGCTGGGACTTTCAGTGCTGTATCGAAGAAAAATGGTGAGAATAGGCGTCCTTGTCTTGTTCCTGATCTTAGAGGAAAAGCCTTCAGTTTTTCTCCATTGAGCATATTAGCTGTGGGCTTGTCATATATGGATGACCCTTACTATGTTATTTTCCTTTTGTACCCACTTCTGAGAGTTTTATCATGAATGGATACAGGATTTTGTCAAATGTTGTTTTAACATCTGTTGCAATGACAATATGGTTTTTATCCTTTTTTTCATGGAGTGTATCACAGTGATTGATTTGCAGTTATTGACCCCTCCTTGCATCCCTGGAATAAACCCCACTTGATCATGGATCATACTTTTTATCATGAATGATACTTTAAATGTATTTTTAAATTTGGTTTGCTAATATTTTGTTGATTTTTACATCTGTGTTCATCAGGGATATTGGTCTGTAATTTTATTTGTTGTATCATTGGTTTTAGTATCAAGGTGATGCTGGCCTTATTGAACAGACTGTAAACTTCCCTTCCTTTTCAATTTTTTGGAGTAGTTTGAGGAGGATAGGTATTAACTCTTTAAATATTTGGTAGAATTTACCAGTGATGCTGTGTGGTCTTGTTATTTTGATTCTAGGGAGTTTTTTGATTTCTCATTTAATTTTATAACTAGTATTGGATCTGTTCAGATTTTCTATTTCTTCCTGGTTCATTCTTGGGAGAGTGCATATTTCTAGGAATTTGTCCACTTCTTGGCTGTCTGGTTTACTGGCATATAACTTTTCATAGTAATATCTTAGTCATTTGTAGTGCTAGTTATAACTTCCTCTCTCTCATTTCTGGTTTTATTTATTTGAGTCCTCTTTTTTTGCTTGATGTGTAGCTAAAAGTTTATCAATTTTATTTTTTCAAAGAATCAGCTCATAGTTTCATTTTTGTATTGTTTTTTAAGTCTCTATTTCACTTATTTCCACTCTGATCTTTATTTTTTTTCTTCTAACTTTAGATTTTGTTCTTTTTCTAGTTTCTTTAAATTTAGTGTTTTATTGCTTACTTGAATTTTCTTGTTTCTTGAGGTAGGCCTGTATCACTGTAATCCCTCTTAGAACTGGTTCGACTGTTTCCCAAAGAGTTTGTACCATCGTATTCTTATTTTCATTATTCTCCAAGTATTTTTTTTTTTGCCTCTTTGATTTCTTCATTAACCCATTGGTTGTTCAGTAGCCTGCTGTTAAGTCTGCATGTTTGTGGGGGTTTTCGAGGTTTTTTTTTTCTTGTAATTGATTTCCAGTTTCATACCACTGGTCTGTTAATACGTGCTTTATGTATTTATGTTCTCTGTTGGGTGCATAGATATTCACAGTTTTTTATCTTCTTGCTGGATTAAGCCCTTAATCATTATATAATGCCTGTGTCTCATGTTACAATCTTTTAGAATTCATTTTGTCTGATAAAATAATGCTACTTAACCCTTTTTATAATTCCTGTTTGAATGGAATAGCTTTTCCACCCTTTCAGTCTGTGTGTCTTTAGGTCTGAAATGAGTCTCTTGTATGCAGTGTATACATGGTCTTTTTTTTTAATGTGCATGCCTTTTACACCTGTTTAGTGATTCCCTTAATTGTTTTTAGAGGTAGTTCATTTTACTACTTAATCTTTTAACCTATCTTAATCCATTCAGTCACCTTACATACTTTGGAGCATTTAGTCCATTTACACTTAAAATAAATATTAATAGGTATGTGCTTATTGCCATTTGGTTAAACATTTTCTGGCTGTTCTTGATCCTTCTTTCTCGCTCACTCTTTTCCCCTCTACATGACAGCTTCCTGTGGTGGGATGGTTGGGTTGGTTTCTCTTTCTCTTTTGTATTTGTTGTACATTCTTGGTTTGTAGTCACCATTGGGTTTATATATGGGGTTTTATGTATAGTAACCTATGCAGTTGCCTGTGTTATGCTGATGGTCACTTATGTTTGAGTGCCTTCTCACAGCACTACATTTTTTTACTCCATCTTGCATGTTTTATGTACATTATCTTCTTTTATACCTTTTTATTTAGTGATTTCCTTAACTATTTTTAGAGGTAACTCATTTTACAACTTTACCTTTTAACCTTATAGTATCTCTTAAGTAATTGATCTGTATTATCTTTGCTTCTACCAGTGAAATAAATGTTTGTCATAATTTTCTTGTAATTATGTCTTTCTTCCTAAAGAAATTCTTCTAACATTTCTTGTAAGGCTAACTTAGTGCTGGTGAAAGCCTTTTAAGTTGTGTTTATCTGGGAAGCACTTTATCTCTTCAATTCTGAATGATAACCTTGCTGGATAGAGTATTCCTAGTTGTAAGTTTTTTCCCTTTAGCACCCTGTGGCCTGTAGTTTCTGCTGAAAATCAGCTTACAGCCATATGGATTTCCTTTAGGTAACTCCGTGATGCTTTTCTCCCATTGCTTTTAATATTCTGTTTTTGACCTTTGACATTTTAATTGTTACGTGCCTTGGTGTGGATCTTCCTGGGTTCCTGTTGTTTGGGATCTCTGTGCTTACTGGACCTGGAAATGTTTCCTTCTGTAGGTTAGGGAAGTTTTCAGCTATAATTTCTCAAATAAACTTCCCACCCCTTTCTTCTGGGATTCCTATAATGCAAATGTTAGAACATTTGCTATTGTTCCAGAGTTCCCTTAACCAATCCTCATTTTTTATCATTTTTCCTTCTCTGTCCAGCGTGTTTTCCATCACTCTGTCTGACAAATCGCTGGTCCATTCTGTATCCTCATCTGCTGTTGATTCCCTCTAGCATATTTTTCATTTCATTTATTTTGTTTCTCATGTCTGATTGGTTCTTTTTGTTTTCTGTGTTTTTTTTTAAGTCCGAGTTCATCTGTTGATCTCAAGGTGAGCATCTTTAAAACCATTATTTTGAACTGTTTTTCAATTAGATTGTTGGCTAATTCCATTTCAGTTAGTTCTTTTTCTGAAATTGTGTATAGTTTTTGCATACTTCTCTATCTCCTCTTTTAGTGTGACTTCCTCTGTTTGTTTCCTGATTAGGTGAAAGCCTACCTCTCCCAATTTTTAAGGCTTAGCTTTTTGTAGAAAAGGCAGACTGCATGTTCCTGGAGGTTTGGGCTGGCTGGCTGGAGGCTGGGTGTGTGGGGCCCAGGTGTCCTGGTGCTGAGGCTCCCAGGGGGATGGCTGAGGGCCTGGTGGCAGGGCTGTCAGTGTCAGGGGTGCAGTGCAGTCTGTTGCACTCCCGAATGGGCAGTGGGCTGGAACCATGCTACAGTCAGCCAGGGCAAAAGGGGGACTCCTGGGTGGGCGCTGGGACAGAAGGGCATGCATCAGTGGTATAAATCTGCATGGTCAACACTCTAGTGTTGCCTTGGTGGGATGCTGGATCTCCGGTGGGTGCACCTGGGTGCAGACAGGGTCTGGGAGACTGCGTGAGAGACTGTATGGAGCTGGGGTGTTGCCATGACCCTGTCAGTGGCATCTGCACTGTTGATTTTACCACATATAAAATCATAGCAAAAGTCAATTTATTTTTTAAAAAACTAATTTTCATTTATTTATTTTTTATTTTTTCAGTATTCCAGTACAAGTAACAGGAGAGAACATGTCAAAATTACAACAGCTCCCCAGCCAGGCTTCCTGGAGAGGCTGAGTGAGACCTCGGGTGGGATGTTTGTGGGACTCATGACCTTCCTGCTCTCCTTCTACTTAATTTTCATCAATGAGGTGAGATGTTCAGGGTCTCCCCATGCTGTGTGATGGTCCCTGTTGTCTCGGAGAGCAAAGGCTATGAACACAGGGGCAGGATTTGCTAAAGGATTTAGATTTTACAAAAGGTGGCAGGGAGAAGGGGTGCTGAATTAATCAGAATTATTCTATTTTAACCTACCTCACAATTGATGGGAAGGGAATGGATCAATCAGTTCACATGCCTGAAAAGCTGTTGGTGCACCAACTTCAGGCATGGTTGGATCTGTGTTCAAGCTGGGCCACTAGGAATTTCCATTCCTCCATTTTGTCTGTTTTTCTCTGTTGTGGAAATTTTTTTTTTTTTTTAACGCTTTTCCTTTGCTGTTGTAAAGGTGGCCCAGCAATTCCAGGGTCATATCCAACCAGCTTAGTTAGCAACCACAGAGAAAAGAGGAGTTGTCTCTTTTAAAATCAATTTAGCACAAGTTGCAGAGATTTCTCAGTGCCCTGACTTGGGTCTCAGTCCTCTTTCTCTGAAGCAGTCCCTGTGGCCAGTGGACACACATTCTGATTGGCTGGGTCTGGGTCACATGATTTGGACAGCAGTGCAGATGGGCCATGTACAACCACATGTATGAGAGTAGGGGAGAGAATGTGGCAGAGCTGAGATGGGCAGTGGGAAGAGATCTGCCTGGGAAAACAGGAATCCAGGTTCCAATACCACTGTGCCACTTGCTAGACCTCAATTTACCAACTAAAATGGGAGATCAGTCTTGATGCTCCCTGAGGCTCCATCCTGCCCTGATGTGCAGCAGTAAGCGCAGCCCTCAAGTCTCCCGAGAGTTGTTGAAATCCTTGCCCCCCTTTGGTGACAGGGTCGTGCATTGAAGACAGCTACCTCCCTGGCTGAGGGGCTGTCACTTGTGGTGTCCCCCGACAGCATCCACAGCGTGGCTCCAGAGAACGAAGGGAGGCTGGTACACATCATTGGGGCCCTGCGGACATCCAAGGTAGGTTTTGGAATGGTTGCTGACCTGCTGGAGGCTTAGGGCACAGCACTATGTATTGTCTGGCTGAGGATTTTAAAAGCCTGGGTCTTTGTGGACACACATGGATGTGAGTCCCAATTCCACCACTCAGCAGCTGTGTGAGCCTCTCTCCCCTGAGTCTCAACATCGTCATCTATAAAATGGGGAGAATAACTATAACAAACTAGGGGCCAGCTTTAAAGATTTGGTGGGATTAAAGACCACCTCTTGATGCAGTGCTTAGCACATGGTATGAGCTTTACAAATAGGTGCCTCAGTGGTTATAGTTAGCATGCATGTCTAATGCTAGGCTGCAGAAGTACTCTGGCTACCAGACCTCACTGGTACCAGATACCAACACCAATTACGCTGTTGGCACCACGCTTGCAGCCCCAACCTGTATTGTGAGGCTCATGGTCACAGGCATCTGGGGAAGAACTCGGGACAGGCCACTTCACTCAGTCCTCCCACCCGCAGCAGCCAGTGGAATCCTGGCCTCTGTACCTGCTTCTCATACTCATCAGATGCCCGAGTTGGGCACTGGGGGGGGGGGGCTGTGAGTCTTATCCTTTATTTTTATTTTTTTGATTTGTCTGATTGTTTGAAGCTCTTGTCTGATCCAAACTATGGAGTCCACCTTCCAGCTGTGAAGTTACGGCGGCACGTGGAGATGTACCAGTGGGTGGAGACCGAGGAGTCCAGGTGAGGTGCTGGAGTGAAAAATCAACTGGGGGCAAGGAGGTGCAGATGTTAGAATGAAATGCAGGTGGCTTTCATTTTGACACTTCTGAAATTTAAAGTATCAGAGAAATGTCCAATTATCCACAAATTACTGGCCAGTGATCTTTTTTTTGAAGATGGCAGAAATCTAATGCAGAATGGTTCAAAGAGGGAGGGGAATTGACTATAGCTCCTTATCCGGGCCACTGCAGTGGGTGCTCGGCTTGAGGCATGACTGGATCCAGGCCACAGACAATGCTTTCCTGTGCATCGGTTCCATCCTGCAGAGGGGCCTCCAGGGTTACATCCCATCAGTTCCAAAAGTCCCAGGGGAGGCTGATTGGCCAGGACAGTCACCTGGAGCGGGGGTGGGGTCAGCCCCACCTGAGTGCATGGACTGTGAGGGAAGGGTGAGGAGGTGGCTGGGGCAGCCAGGCCAGCTCAGCCAGGCGAAGGGCCGCTGCAGGGGCCCCATGGGGATGTCCTAGAAGAGAGGGTACGGCTGGCTCTCAGCACTGATGGCAGGGCTGCAGGCAGGGCCAGCTGCAGACAGATGGACAGACTGACTAGGGTTGACTGTGCTTCTCGTGCAGGGAGCACACCGAGGACGGGCAGGTGAAGACAGAGAGGAGGTACTCCTACAGTGAGTACCAGCCCATGCCAGGCACAGCCCCTCCCACGTGCAGACTCTGCTCTCAGCGGCGGCCTCGGCAGTGGGGAGGGTGCAGGACAAGGCGCCAGGATCCCAGTCCTCAAAGCTCTGCTCTCCCACCCATCCAGACTCTGGGAGCTGCCCCCTCAGCCCCGGAGTGGTCACCGGCTTGGACACGAGGGTGCGGGGTCAGTGGGCCTCAGACGTGTGGCCACTCCTGCCACGGCTGCTGACTTCTACCCTCTCCCCATGACAGACACTGAGTGGAGGTCAGAAATCATCAACAGCAGGAACTTTGACCGCGAGATTGGCCACAAAAACCCCAGGTGAGAGCTGGGCCCCCAGGCCTGAGGGCAGCCTCAGCTCCCACATGTGGCTGTGGGGCCGAGTTGCTTCAGCTCATGAATTGCTGGAAGGGTGGCCATGGTTCCAAGCCAGCTCCTGGGCTAGGCACTGGGCACTCAGGGGCAAGACCCGACTTCCCTGACCCCGAACAGGCTCCCCTCCAGCAAGTCAGGAGGATGTGGCCCAGACCAGTGCTGGTAAGTATCGGCATGAGCATTACCAGGAGAGCATTTTGTTCATGGTTGGCCATGGGGATGGGGGGACAATGAGGAAGGGCTTTCAGGAGGCAGGGGCATGTGGTCTGACCTAGGTTTTTGGTAGAGGGAGGTTAGTTCAGGGATGTGGGGGTGGTGAAATGGGCAGGACTGGGCCAGGAGGGTCAGGGTGTGTATGAAGTCCACAGGCGGCCATCTAATGGGTGGGGTGGGACCAGCTGGTAGGGTTCTAGGCTCAGGTGGACAGGAGACAGGAGGTCATCTGCCCAGGGGAGGGGCCAGAGCATTGCGGAGGGTCAGGTGGTGAAGACAGTATGTCTGCAGTACCTGAACTGGTCTGGACTTGCAGAAGTCCCCTGGATGGGGACCATGCCCAGCACAACCCAAAGGGACCCAGGCAGCTCCCTCTCTCTTGCAGCGCCATGGCAGTGGAGTCATTCACAGCAACAGCCCCCTTCGTCCAAATTGGGAGATTTTTCCTTTCAGCAGGTGAGTCTCCAGCCCCTTCACATGAGCCAGCGCCTCCCAGAGACCCTGTGCTTCCACACCTCTGCTCCCAGGAACTGGGGCCCCGCTACTCAGACCTCAGCAGCTTAAAGGGGTCCCTCTGCCCTGGGCATGGGATCAGCTAGCACTTCCCCAGCATCATGATGTGTGCTGGGTGCCAGAGGGAAGGCACATGTCCAGGAGGTAGGGGCGCATGTAGAACACCCCACCCAGCCAGCTTCCCTGGAACCTGGGTGATTCCCGAGCGGCTGCCATGCTCTGCTGCTGAGCCAACCAGGCAGAGCGGGAGCCCTTGCTTGGTGGCCCTCGAGACAAGGCTGCTCCTGGGGACCCCACGTGGCACCCAGCCCTGTGCTAGGGAGCGGGAGGGTCAGTGACTCTGGACAGGCTTTCAAGGAACAGTACCACCAGCCACAGTGACTGAGGAAGGTGGGGCAGAGGACACCTAGGGCCCCGAAGAGCCAAGGGGAGGGAGGAAAGCTGGTGCTCCAGGCTTGGCCTGTGTGCCACCTGCTGTCGCTCAGCTAGTGCCTGCTGTACCTGCCTGCCCTGGACCCAAGGTGGAATAGCCACAGGCCTAAGGCCACGCCCAGAGCTGCAGTCTGACTGGAAGGGGCGGGCACGGAGCGGACTTCCCACAGGGCATGGAGGCCGCGTGGGGCTGCAATGGGGAGGGCTGATGGCAGAAGGGCACTGCGGCAGGAGGGCGTGTGAAGGCCCCGTGGGGTGAGGTGAGTGACAGTGTGGCCAGGCAGAGGTGCATGTGAGGGCAGGAGGTGTGGAGGCTGTCAGGCTCAAGGGTCTGCACATGGGGGGTGGGTTTCACACCACTGTTTCCACCCACCACATGCTCAGGCCTCATTGACAAAGTTGACAACTTCAAGCCATTGAGCCTGTCCAAGCTGGAGGACCCGCATGTGGACATAATTCGCCGGGGAGACTATTTCTACCACAGTGAAAACCCCAAGTATCCTGAGGTACATGGGGGCTTGGGCTGTCTAGAGTTAGGGGCTCAGAGAATCACCCCCTGGGCAACACACAGGAGTCAAGAATCCTGCTTCAGACCCTGAGTGGGTCAGGTGAATCCACAGCTGCTACTGGCCCAGTGAGGTGGAGGGAGGCACACTCCTGGGGACAGGACGGGCTGCTGTGGACCCCGGTCCTGCTGCAGCTCCCAGCCTCACCACTTCTCTCCCACCCCCAGGTCGGAGATCTGCGCGTCTCCTTTTCCTATGCGGGGCTGAGCGGCGATGACCCTGACCTGGGCCCAGCTCACGTGGTAATCTGCTTCCTGGGACAGGCGAAGGCAGGGCCTCCTAACCCCAGGCACCCTGGGCTCATGCCACTAGCACTTGGGGCCCTCCCCCGGAACCACGTCTGCACGCTCACAGTTGCAGAGGCCCTTGTCCTCACAGACTTGTATGTCTGCAGGTTGGGAACTGCCCTCCAGTGGGATCTCATCATTAGGCCTAGTGAGGGCTCCTCTATCCCATGCAGCCCTCCCCACTCAGCCCCCAGGTTCTGCTCCGCAGGTACCAGGCCCTGCATTCCTGACCCTGTCACACGCAGTCCCCCCGCAGCCCCAGCCCTGACACATCTGCTGCCCAGGGTCCTCCGTGGAGTTCCCAGCAATGCAGCTCCCCTGAGCTTGGGAGCGGGTGCACCCCAAGGCCAGTGTAAGGGAGAGGCTCAGGGGTTGCACGGGTCCCCTGCAGCACAGCATGGAGTGGCGCTGGGACCTGGCAGACTGACCCTTCACAGCTCTGACACTAATCTCTGACCAGGTCACTGTGATTGCCCGGCAGCGGGGTGACCAGCTTGTCCCATACTCCACCAAATCCGGCGACACTCTGCTTCTCCTGCACCACGGGGACTTCTCTGCAGAGGTGAGCTGCGTGTGATGTGAGATCCGCATCTCCCTCCCTCCCGCTTCCCTCCCAGCAGGCAGGCCCCAGAGCTGGAACAGCAGGCAGAGCACACTCCTCCCTGTTCACAGGCTTCCAGGATCCAGGGGAGGGCTGATTTGGGTGTAAGAACACCTGGTGCCTTGTGAGGGGAAGAGATGCATTGAGGTAACCAGCCACGGTAACAGGACATGGACTTTGACAGTGGCCAGGGAAGGGCACTTAGTCCCAAGTGAAGAGAAGGGAGATGGGGTCAGAGCTGGAAGAATCAGGTCAGTCATAGTTGAGGCAAGAACGGCCAAGTCCAGGCAGGACACAGCTGACCTTGTTGGAAATGCCAGGGTAGGCGGCGGCGAGGTGGCAAAGGCCCTGGTGAGGGGCGTGCAGTCTCTGTAGCAGCAGTGGGGACACTGAAGCATTGCAGCCACAGTCCTGGGATGGGTGAGTCCCTGTCTGGAAGACCAGGATGGTCATGCCTCACCCAAGTCCTAACCAGAAGGAGTGCAAAGAAGTGATTAGTTCAGTGTAAGCCTCTCTCTTCTAGGCAGGAAAACCGTCTTTTAACAAAACCTTGCTGGGTTTTTTTTGGTATCATTAATGTACAATTAGATGAGCGACATTATGGTTATTAGACTCCCCCCATCATCAAGTACCCCCCACATACCCCATTACAGTCACTGTCCATCACTGTAGTAAGATGTTGTAGAATCACTACTTGTCTTCTTTGTGTTGTAAAGCCCTCCCCATGCCCCCCCACCCCACATTGTATCTGCTAATCATAATGCCCCTTTTCCCTCCTTGTGCCTCCCTTCCCACCCATCCTCCCCAGTCCCTTTCCCTTTGGTAACTGTTAGTCCATTCTTGGGTTCTGTGAGTCTGCTGCTGTTCTGTTCCATCAGTTGTTTGTTTGTTGTTATACTCCACAGATGAGTGAAATCATTTCGTACTTGTCTTTCTCCGCCTGGCTTATTTCACTG